TAATCTCATGGTTCTGCAACTTCATTCAATTGATTTGATCCACTGTGCCGCCATTTCGGCCACGTGGGTTTCGCTTTATTTATTATTGTATGAAGTGTTTGGACTATCATTTTGGGATCTCTCTCTCCCAATCCATGTCCTCGCCTCAGACGGTACTATAGACACCTATGATCTATCTATCATCTATACGAGCTGAATTCTGAATACTCTGTCGTCGATGCTTTTGTGTTGAGACTAAACTTTTGCTTTCGCTTTTACTTTCGCTCGGCAGGGGAAGCTGGGTTTGACCATAGCACCTGTTTTGAAAAATTGTACTTACATTGCCACTGTTAACTGAAAGCTCGTTGACAGAGGCGAATCTTATAATGTCCTCTTCATTCTGAGACATACTCACGGACTCACGGGTCCCTTTGATCTTGTGTTGCAGGCTCATCTAACATAAAAAAGGAGTTCATGTAGTCTCACTTTTTCAAAATAAATAAATAAATAAATAAATAAAGGAGAGAGAGAGGGAAAAAAGCGTTTTTGTCGGATATCTTTTTTCCAGTCTATTAAGGAAAGGCAATTCGGTATTTCTTTGACCATGTTTGGTTCGTTAGGAGTATTAGCAATTAATTTATGGGGTCAAGCTCTAAGCTCTATGGTTTTAATTTGTTACCATATTGGACATTGATTGGTCCCTTGTACCAAGAGAAGGGGGGGCCAAACGTATCTAGTACAGACGTATGCTATGAAGCTAGGAAGGAGGGGTAAGATAGAAAGAAACAAAGAGGATGAAAATAAAGGCGCTTTTGCGCAGGCACCATATATGGCATCGATGGAACTGAACTCTACCGGATTAGATAAGTAATTTTTGGTGTTCATTTTGACCAATCTCATAAGCTGATCTATCTCCTTTTCCTTTGCATGGAACGTGGTTTACTGCTCATATGGCCATTTCTACAGTGTATCTGGGTAAGAATTTATTTTTATCATTAATGCTATTCCATATTCGTTCTCGACCTATTATCCTAAGAAAATACTTTACCTGATGCAATTGTAAACTAATGAATCTTGATGGCCTTCAGGAGGATATGACAAGGAAGATAAGGCCGCAAGAGCTTATGATTTGGCTGCTCTGAAGTACTGGGGTCCAACTGCTACCACCAACTTTCCTGTAATATTCTTTTTCAATGTCTTTTATGTTTTGAACTCATTCATCAGAACTTGAATGCTTAATTAGCAACACTTAGCCGACTAATTTTCTCAGGTTTCGACTTACACAAAGGAATTGGAGGAGATGAAACATGTAACGAAGCAAGAATTCATTGCTTCACTGCGCAGGAAAAGTAGCGGTTTTTCTAGAGGAGCTTCTATATACAGAGGCGTAACAAGGTATCGAAAATACACAAATAAATCATAATATCATCGAAGCTTGGCAATCCTTTATATCCAACCATTTTTGCTTGTGCAGGCATCATCAGCAGGGTCGATGGCAAGCAAGAATCGGTCGTGTCGCGGGGAACAAAGATCTATACCTTGGAACATTTGGTAAGCAATAGGTGCAATTGAGAATATATAGGCTGCGATTTTCCTAAAGGAAAAAGAAGAATTGTAATCTGGTGTTTATAAATATCACGTTGTGACAGCTACTGAGGAAGAAGCAGCTGAGGCATACGATATTGCAGCCATTAAATTCAGAGGTGCAGGTGCTGTGACGAACTTTGAGATGAACAGATACGATGTGGAAGCTATTATGAAGAGTACTCTTCCTGTTGGTGGATCAGCCAAACGTGCAAAACACTCCCCAGAATCAGAAGACAATGTTCTTCCTAGCAATAACCTCCATAACCTGCAACCTCAATATCCAAACGCGATCAATACCAACGGTGGAACTATCAGTTTCACTCCCATTCAACCTGCACTTGCTTCTATCCCCTGTGGCATTCCCTATGATTCCGCTGCAGCACATTACCACCACAACAATCTCTTGCACCATTTTTATCCTCCTAGCAGTTCTGGAACCGTCGATTCTGCTGTATCCGCAGCTGCGGCTGTTGTGGCTCCGATGACTTCGATGCCGGCTGCTGCTGAGTTTTTCCTGTGGCCTCATCAGCCTTGTTGATCGCCTGATATAGTCAAGTAGTTATCTCTTCTTCTAACATATCATTAGTTATAATAGGGTTTATCTCTCACAGTTCAGCTGACTCCCCATCGAATATACCTTAACTGGGAAGAAAGAAAACTAAGGTAGGTTTTGGTTGGTGCTGGTAAATGCTAGAGTTTCAGTTTACAGGTTAGAAGCTGGATCATGTAAGTGACTTTTGAAAGATAAATTGAGTAGGGCAGGAATTTATAAATGCTTTTTTCACCTTATGAAGTTATGTTACCAATTTGAATTTTCCCAATCTTTCTCCATATTTAAATTATTATTGGGAGAGTTTTGCTGACTTTATGGATCTGCTTGACACGATTAATCGACGTCTGATGTGACTTAGAGTGAGATTATGAGCTCGTTTAAATTACATGTTTTCAAAATAATTTTTTGCTTTGAAAATAAAAAATAAAAATATTTAAAAATGTTTTCTATTATCTATTTTGAAAAATGACTAAGTTATTTTTAAAAAACTGAAAAACCAAGAACAATTTTCATGTTTTTTACGTCTTGTTTTACAAAATAAGAAAAAAAAATTGTTGAAAACATCATGTTTTCATTAATAACAATTATGTTAATAAAATAAATTATTATTTTCCCTTGTATTTCATCATTTTAATATATTTTTCAAAATAATAGTACGAATAGTTATTTTTTTTTTTATTTTTAAAGCTTGCTTTAAAAAATTACTTTACTAGATTATTGGAAGAAAATAAAAAGGAAAACAATCAAACATGTCCTATATTTCAGTTGTCATTAGCTTCTAAAACGTGAAGCATGGTATCTTTTATTGGAAATTTGGAACTCGTTTCGGTAAAACCGAGTGACATGAAGCAAAATGTTATAAACTAAAATTCTACATCCGTTACCGGCGTTCTTGTCACGTTGAAACTTGAGTTTTCTTTAATTTGGTACATTCGTTTACACATTATCATAATTGAGAAGAAAAACCTCACAAGCCAATTTTCAAAGCCTTTTTTTTTTTATACAATTTCAAAGCTATTATTCAACAATTGTTACAAGCACAAATCTTTTTCTACCCCGCCTTGGTAAAACAAGAACAAGTCTATTGGCAAAGGCACTGGGTCAAACACAGAAAAAAGGCGTTAGGGAATTTTGGGCCAATTTCAAAAAGAAAATCCATTTTTACGGGCCCAATCGATCCAATCCATTATGAGCCTTAACGGACTCAGGCTCAAGATCCAAGGCTCTCTGAAACGCTTCCTTGGCCTTCTCTTTCATCTCCTTCCACTCGTAACATTCCCCCAATGAACACAACGCTGCCGTGTTCCTCCCCTCACTCAGCCTCACCGCCTCAACCAGATCTTCAACCGCCGAGTCAACTCGTCGCCGTCGATTCACCGCCAGCTTCAGCTCCGCCCTCTTCACACTAGTGCGTCCACGTGTTCGGCCGCCGATAGTGACTTGACGTGCGGCGTGGACAGAGCGGAGTCCATAGACCTGAGTGCAGCAGTGCGGTGACCCATGAGATCGAGAGCGAGAGCTTTAAGGATGTGAGCTGCGGGGTCCCTGGGTGAGAGAGAAAGAGCTTGGTCTGCTTCAATTATAGCGTTTCTGGCATGGGCCATCGTTTGAGGTCTCTGGGAGATGGATCTGGCTCGAGCCAGGAGGCGGGATCCCTGGACGAGATGGCGGTTCGATTGGTGGTTATCTCGGGTTCTGTTGCGAAACCTGAGTTGAGGAGGCCGTTTGCGAAGATTGTGCACAACGTAAAGAATAGACAAAGTTAGGATTAGAAAGGCCAGTTGAAGCATAAACTCTCTGGCCATCGGAGGTTTGCAGTGTGGTACGGAGGTTGCCTTGTCAATGCAAGATATAGCTTAAAGCCTTGAACTGTCACCGTGGGGGCTTTGCGTTGCATTGGGCTATTGAATTAGCACAAAAGGTATCCCTGTATCTATTCCTCATATCTCCCTTTTTTTTTTTTTTTTTGTCCCCAGTGATATTGGATGTCCGAAAGGATTTTATTGTGTAAAATTATAAATCTACTGGCCCCATTGCATGTTTACTGTTGGGCTGGGCCGAGAGCACCCTTGGATCATTTCTATCCACAGGCCATTTATGAACAAAAATGGGTGCCCTTGTGATTTTTTTTTCCATTGCAGAATTTTTTTAGTTAGTATGAAAAAGAGATTTTCTTTGTTTTTTTTTTTTAGTTGAAGGTTGAATGTAATGGCTCCAAATTTCCCATATTAATTGTACCAAAAAAAAAAATTTCCCATATTAAGAATGACAATTGACAAGGACATGGTATGGTATGGTAGTATCATCTCTATATTATTAATTAGATCAAAGTTCTACCGTCACTTTTGAATTCTGAGTACTTGTTTGCTCGAACAAATTTTGAATGAAGAATCTTTTTTTATGCTGAGAATCATTATTAATTTGTTCTTGTAAAATGCTGAAAATGAATTTCAAGTTGTTTAATAATAGCGTCAGCATATCATCGTTTTATCCATTGTAATAAAATTAAAATACCACTTGTTTATTTATTTATTTATGTTAGGGGAAGATGCGATGCGATTGAGAAATCTCTCTAGAAGATGAAATTTATTTTTCAAAAACAAGATTGTTTGCGTCTTTGCATAATTGCAAAAGATAGATATATTTAGATGAAGGTCTTTGATGGATAGAAATTAAGATGGGATGGACTATGTTGAAATTAGCACTGTGGGCTGCAGAGTACCGGAGTTACAAACACTCTCTGGGTCATAATGAAAATTGTAAATGTACAGTGAGCTCCCCCCCTTTCTCAGGCCACTCGGTGCTTCGTGTGGATTGAACCATGCTTCTTTGTTACTGCTCGTTACAAGTTCATGCCAAATTTCAAGCTCCTTCAGAAAACTTGAAAGCTTCAACTGAGACTGAGGCTAGTGACATTGGCTGACCTACACAAGGCGTTATCATTTACCAAGATCACCCCATAGGTTTGATTTACATAAAAGCAAACAGGAAACCCCTCATTAAAGAGCACAAGGATTACGCAGCATTATTACTCCATCGCTAGTTGCCTGTAACGATTAAGATCGTTCAAGTAAGTTGAGCAAGTATATTCTTCTAGGTCACTGGCATCTAGCAAGAGAGATCTTGTTGATACTGATTTCTGCTTCATATCAGCAAGTCCCTCTTCGCCCTTCAGCAGCTGCACAACCTATATTTCCCAAAGGTGCGGTTATTCAGTATGCACATGCAAAATGAACTGTGTTGCAAGGGAAAGGGTTTTTTTTTTTTCTTTACCTGTTTCATGTACGGACGGTGTGGGGATGAGTGGTGGAGACACATGGAAGCAGTAACCATGGTCCGCTTCAATTCAATGGAATCATAAGCTTCTCCTAATCGAGGGTCTACTAATTCCTTCACATTGTGTGCTTCTAGTCGTGGTTTTGCCTGGCCATGTTGAGTATCTCATTTTAGCTTGGAAACTGAGTAAAACAGATTGAATTCTTGGATACAGGGACAATCAGGCCTTACCCAGAGGACAAGACTTTGCTTGCTGCATGAATCAACTGCACGACGACCTGTAATGAGCTCCAGCAGCAAAACTCCAAAGGCGAATACATCAGTCTTCTCATCCACAATTCCATGCATAAAATACTCTGGAGCCAAATACCTGAAGATGGATCCAGTGCGTCAGAAAATGAGTTGGCATTGGTAATAAGATGTAGAAAATCCTGAGGCTAGCTGCCAACAATACTGACCCAAATGTGCCTTCTATGGGGAAGACGACATGGTGAGTCCACTTCTCTGGGAGCCATTTCGCGAGTCCAAAGTCTGAAATCTGCAGTTTATAACACAAGGAATCATTTGCCCCGTCCGGAATTGTTGAACAGAATCTAGTACTATATTCATGCAGAATCTACCCTCGTACCTCAGCTTCGTAATTTTCGTTTAGTAATATGTTGGAGGCCTTGATGTCTCTGTGTATGATTCGTCTTTGACAATCATGATGCAGGTATCGCAAGCCCTGTGCCACACCAATAGCAACCTTAAACCTTATCTTCCACTCCAAGCATTCAGAACCTGAAATGTGGAAAATCTGAGACCTGGTGAAAGAAAATGTGGAGTCTACCCTAAGTCCTAACCAGGAAAAGCAGTTGTAGGTAGGAGAAGGAAGAGATTGAGGGAGAACCAAAGAGCAGAGAAGAAAGGCTTCCATTTGAGGCTAATTGCAAGACAAAGTAGAAACCATTGTTGACCCCGAACCCAATCAAGCGCACAGCATTTGGGTGGTTTATGTGGGCAATAATTCCCAACTCTGATAAGTAATCACCCGCTCTGTCCTCATTTTGCTTCTCTTTCTTCATGAGCCTCTTCACTGCCACAAGTTGACCGTCAGGTAAGCGTCCTTTGTAGACTTCAGCATGCCCACCTTGCCCAATCAGGTTCTCTATACAAAGCACAAAAGTGATGTCAGAGTGGCGTCTACATAAAAAATGGTGGGGTTTCTCTAGTTTTAGAGGACACAAAAGCATGAGTGGGTAATTATTTTGAATTGAATATGTCAGTGGGTTGAGAATACACTCATTACGTAGTGTTTGGTTCAATGCCTTCCCCTCCATTTTTCCAGCTAAAAAGTAAAAACTCCCCGAGTCCAACGAAACAGACCTTCAGGGTTAAGACAATAAGTTCACTGTGATGTTCGACTTTGTGGGTTGTATTGTGTAGAATGAAGATAGAATTAATTCGATGGTTGAAAACTTCCTTTAGGTCCCCCCATATTTGTCGTCAACGGCTTTGGAACCTGAAGTCTTCGCTAATTGAAATCACTTGTTGACTAATGGCCTCCCAAACTTGAAAACTCACAAAATGCATTGAAAAGTAGGGGAAGTTTGACGGCCGGCTTGCTCTTAGTTTATGATTTGGGATTTTACAGGTCAAATTGTATTAGGTCTATAGTTCAACAAATTGATTGGCCTTGGGATCAGAGATCTCTCGTCCTGTACTTTGAAAAGTACAGGTACTAACTAAATTGCCTAACCCTAGTTCCAGTTACAAGCATACTGCAAGAATACATACATATACAGGTATTAAAGCACACAATCCTTTTGACGCCGTTAATTGGGGCACAAGAGAAGGCAGCTACATCATGATACACGCATCCCCAAAAGTTGTGTTCCGACTTCGTCATAGGTTAATATGTATAGAACATCTACGTAAGAAACTTAAAATCTATATTTAAAACGAAAATATCTTCCCTCTCTCTATGAATAGACATGTATATGTCATTTAGTCTTTATTATAAGGCATGTTTAATCACCTCATCAGAATAAAAAAGAGATAATTAAAGCATTAATTTTGTTTAAAAAAGAATAAAATTTTAATATTACCTATATTTAAATGAGAAAATTTTAAATTTCCAACATTACATTCTTTTTTTTTTCTAATTAATGAGTTTAAATAGATGTAATATGTAATTAATATCCTATTAAGTGCGTGCTAAGAATTGTCGATCTCTTTTAGAGAGTGTCTTGTAATAAAAACTAAAAGAAGTAAAGAAATGCAAAGAAACAAAAAAAAAAAATTGCCTAAGAAAGCCAGTATTCAGGAGAAAAGAAATGTAGGATTATTTATGGTCCCTAAAAGCTGCTAAATTAACCAGGAAAGCAAAAATGAAGAACGATACATGGATCAGTTGGAAGTTGGCTGATGTCCGTCACATCTCACATGAGAGATTAGTCTGATTGGCATGGGAAAGCAAACAGAGCACGCCTATGTTTATTTTGATGGGGTCAGACTCAGCACCCCCCACTCAACGGCACTACTCATGTGAGCCTAATGCAACATTATTTGTCACTTCATCATCTCAACGTTGTCTCTTTAATGAATCTCATACTTTTTACACATCTCTCTCTCTCTTTACATTATCAGCAAGCATTTTCTATTCAAAACATTATCGATCGCTGAATATTACATTTTTTTAATGGAAACTTGAACTTTAATTTATCATGTGAAAAACTAATTTCTTTTAGTATACTCAATTCCCATTGATAATGAATTGTTAACTGTTTCCATAAAAGAATCCACATCCCGTCCCCCTCCTCAAGCCGCATATTCAATTTTTAATTTTTTTTGGGAGTGAAACACATTCAATATTTTAATACAAATGACAAATCTAGATACTTATTCTTAGTAATGAAAAACAAAGAAACATTCTTTATCACCAAAAAGAACAGAGAAAGGAACATTCTTGCGTTGAAGTTTTATTGGTTTATGTGTTTATTCTATCATACAAGATAAAGAAAACTTCATCATATTAGTGATCATTTGAACGAGTAACAAACAAGGTCACTTGACAAATAAAATGGCATCAGTTTGAATCTTTTATCTATCCGCATCTTATAATAAAACAAGTCAACAAAAAATAAGTTGATCAGACAATAGTATAACAACTAAACAAATATACACTAATAATTTCAGTTATTAAATATATTATATTTATATCTTTACTTTACATGATGATGGTTAGATTGACTGAAATAAGATATCAGTGTCAGACCTGACTTTTTGAACAGGGAGCAGACTGCAGAGGACACAGCCTTTTTGACCGAACTACGTTCGTGACTGCGGACAATGACCCAAAAGAAACCTAAATCATTCAATTAATTATTTAATTTTAAGAAAATATATTTTGGGTTTTTCTTGGCCAGAAAAAATTGAGAACGTTCAACGTTTGTTGCAGAAGCCAAACGACATTGGAAGAGAAAAAGGTTATGGTAAGTTGTTACCAGGATTGAAATCGTCTGTTGCAGCTTGGAGCCCTGCATAATCGAAGTTCCTCCATGAAGTTTTCGTAGGGATCTCTCCCACGTTAATTCTTTCTTCTGCGCTTCGAATACGTTCCATCCTTCTCTTCCTCAAGCTCTTCCTTGACATCTCGTAGCTCGCCGCCAGTAATGAAATCGCCGATATTCTCTGCACCGACTTCTTCTTCAATGACTCTATTATCGCCTTCCATGGCTGTCCATGTCCCACCCCTTCCCTCACCCTCCCTCTCTCCGCCTCCGATGACTTCTCCGGCGAGCTTAAGCTGCAGTTGCTGCTTCCGCTGTGATCTGACTCTGTCCCCGAAACAGGGATTTCCAGAATTCCTCTTGGCGACGCCTCGTCGCCGCCGGAAAACTCTCTTCTGTGCTTGTCTAATGATTCCATTTCTGGGTTTTAATTGCTTTTCCCTCTATACCTTCTCTGTATATATAACCAATCAAATTCACATTTCAATACACACACATGCTCTTCCTCGTTCCATAGTTGCAGGGGAAACGCAGGATACAGAGAGAGACCTAGAAAAGTTAAAAACTTTGAATTTTATTAACTTGTGCGATACAGACCCGAGAAGAGCTAACGAAATGGAAGAAGAGCAAAAAGAAATTTAATGTTGAAGTTTGTGAATGAAAGAAAATGGATTTGTTTTTCTTATCGGGTTTGTGCTCTGTTAGCAAAACAGAAAACGATAACTTATACGTAAAAGAAGCTTACCTTAAACAGGGTGCTACCCTCATGGAGGGTTTATCCTAAGATTCAAAACTCAACCAGCTCGTGCTGAAAGAAATAAAACAATATTCTAAAATTAAGGATCATAAGTATCGAAGTTGAAGTTTAGTAGATGACATCTGGGAAGGATCAGAGAGAAAGAGAACTATGAAATTGGGAAACGGAAAACAGAGGGGATAAGAGAGGAGAAAGCTTGAGGATTAGTTATCCTGAGAAGAAGAGTAAGCGAAAACCAGGTCGGGGATGATTGGAATAAATGCTATATTTATAGTATCAGTTTTTTCTCTTAATCTGTTTTCTTTTTATTATTTTGTTTCTCTGATTTTCTATCTTTGAAGAAAAGTTGCATGGGACCCCAACTGAAGCTTTGAACATGGAAATTAAAAAAAAAAAAAAACGGAATAGAGAGTGGAAAATGAAAGTGTGGGTGCTGAATGGTGACGCAATGTCCTACTTTGGATTTTTGGTCGTGAATTTTGGCGCAACTAACGCACGAAGGAGCATGAGAGGCCGTGTACATGGCACGCCACTCGTCTCGCTACCTGCCGTTTGTCTGTTTGTTTTTAATATAATAATTGGGTTAAATCCGATTGGAACATTATCGATTATCAAATTCCACAAAAGGTAGATTACAAAAAAAAAAAATACTTTCTGAATTTACATGTATTTAAATTAAATTTTAGATCATATACTTAAACAGTTATGATATATTTAAGAGCAGATGAAACGCAAAGGGAGGATTATTAAATGGAATGAAATGAAATGGGACAGAATAGGATGGAGCGGGATGAAATGAAACATTTTATTATTTGGAGGGTTTTATTAAATGAATAAATAATTTTATTTAATTATTATTTAAAAATAATTATAAAATTAATATATTTAAATTAGAAATAATTATATTTTTTAGTTTTACAGTAGGTGAGAGTGAAATAGTGAGAGGGGATAAAAAAGATAAGGATAATTTTATAATAATATTATTTATATAATATCATTTTATCATCAACCCTCTAAATTAAGGGTTAATAAAAATAGGTTTAGAATGATGAGTGATCGCTTGAAAAGCCACCCAAAGTCATTTTATTATTTTTTATTCTATCTTTGAAAAAAAAACTATCAAATATTACCTTACTGTCTCTTTGATGTTTTTAGTTTTTTTCGTTTTCATTTGTTGTTTTTATTATTTAAATTTTATCTCATATGGTTGTTTAAAGAGGGATCTTTTTTTTTTTTTTTTGGTTTTTCTAAGCTTGCGTTCGTTGTCGCTTCAATTGATCTTGTCATAGATGAACTAATGATTCAGTTATATATTGATGATGGATGTAACATTCATTCACATTTCACAAAGTAGTCTTTAAAAAAATAAAATTTTGTAAATTTAGTTGATTATATTTATTCATTCTTTCTATTTTAAATTCATATAATTATCAATTTAATTATTCTTAAATTAAATATAATTAACATTTTCTTAAATTACTGATATATAATTACACATATTTTAATGTAATGATACAAATATTTGATAAAAAATAATATAAAAGACACAAGTTTTTAATTTAATAAATAATAATATATAATTTGTATAAAATGCATATACTTATATACTAATGCTATAATGTATCAATAATATAACTTTGACATAAAAATAACAGTATTATATTATGTATATATATTCCGCTAACAAAATTTTCCAAATCCATTTTTATTGAAATGCAATACATTTGATAATTTAAAATTTTAATAATATAAATTTAGATTTTTACATGCGTCACATATTATTGCATTTTAGAAAATGAATATTAATGAAGGATAGCATTTTATCGTTAATGTTAAAAATTTTCATAAAATAGTGACAAATATTGTGTTCGTAACAAATCTGTAACAAATTATAATATTTTCTTGATGAAAATTAGTGATGAAACCCAATCTTTCACAAAATTTGGATATTTTAATAAAATAGTGATAGATTTTTACTTCGTCATTATTTAATTACTAATTATTATAATTAGTGACAGATTGAAAATCCATCACTAATTCTAATTTTTTCAGCAGTGTAATTAAACCACTTTTTACATGTTTGTTTGAAATATTATCTTTGTCAATTTATGCATTTATTTTTTTAAAATAATAAATACATAATGTATATAACTAAAAATAAAATATGAATTAATTTTTTTAGTATTTTAAATGATATTTTTGGCAACATTTAGGTTTTAATATGAGTATTTTGGTCCAACAAAAATAAGTTAATGATTAAGTAATTGTTTGGGTGAATGAAAATGAAAATTTTAAAGTAAAAGAGATGTTTGTGTTTTGTAATTATTGATGCTATAAGAAGTTTGTATAAATTTTTAAAGGTTAAAATGTATTTTTACCTTTGAACTTTTTTTCAAGGAATAATTTTATTCTTGTACTCATAAGTGAGACAATTTTGCCTTTAAACTTTTTTTTTTGAAGAACAAAAAAAATTCTTCTACAAGATGCTTAGCACTCCTTAAAAAAATAGTTTAAGAGTAAAATTAATCTACTTATCAATACAAGGGTAAAGTTGCTCTTTGAAAAAAAATTCAAAGGTAAAAATACATCTTAACTTACTTTTTAAAATAAAAGATATGTAAATGTAATTAAAATAAAATAGAGGGATATCAATGTATTTTACTTTAAAATAAAGGTATGATGGGCTTGATTAGTATTAATATCAATATCAATAAATTAACATCAATATCACCAAGACGTGAACGGTATTTAATGGAATATGGGATCATAATGAATTAGGATAATTAAAATTTATCTAAGATATTAGAATTATTTATTAGGGATATCTAAATAAGGATATTTTTTCATTAAAATCAAAAATTATTATTTATTTTATCATTATCTTATATATTAGTATCTTTAATGTTATATTTAGATTTATGATTTAACATTTAAATTTAAATTATTATTTTATTATTTTTAGAGCTCAATAAATAAAGTTAAATTTTTTATTTATTTTCAGTTTTGAGTATTATTAAATAAAAAATTTTAAAAGTTTCAACTTTCTCTTTCTTCTTTCTCTCTTCTCTATCTTACTCTTTCCTCTTTCCAACTTCCATTGAACTCCATGAAGAAATACTCTATTTAAAACACTTACCATGAAAAACACTTAACGGATGGGAAATTTTTCCCTTTGCCCAAGAATGGAATGGATTAGGAGTGTGGCATAATTTGTAAATCATGTCGTTAATTAATTTTTCCTTACAAATTACATCTCCTTTGAATTTAAATTTTTTTAATTATACACATGTGTCCTTACTCTAGAGTTTATCCTTTTTTGAGATAGGGTCAAACATGAAATATAAGCACATTTTCTAGCGCTGGTGGAGATTTGAGTCTAAATATGCTACATTGTGAGATATCATTATTTATCATTAGACCCATCATGTTGATCGAATTTAAATTTAATTATACAAAAAAACATGTTTTTTAATATTTTGTTTCTATTAATTGAGAATATAAATAATACATTTTTATATTTTGAGTTTGTAGGATTAATAAGCATCCTAAACATTAAACAACTGCGCGAATAGAATTCTGAATTTTAAATTTTTGAAATATGCAAAAACTCTCTTCAAATTTTAAATTACGAGCTTCTGAAATCTCGCTGTTAAGTTAAAGAAAACAGTCATTATTTTTAATGGTCAAGACAAGTGCCATATCAGTGCACGACTGGCCCCCACAACTGCAAAAGTAATAATTATTTTTTTTAAAACTTAATAGCAATGTTTCATGTGCTCAACATTTAGAAATTTCTAGAGTTTAAGGTTCTGAATGATATTCGCATAATAATTTAAGGTTTATAATACTCATGAACCCAACTTGAATTTGAACTAACTTTAGGTAGTGTTCAGTTTGGTTAAATTGGATTTGAAATTTTGATTTAAAATCTTATATTTCAAATTTTACTTTCTAAGTGTATTTAGAATTTTTTATTTGGGTAGTTTGAATAACAAATGTTGTTACTATTAGGTAATGTTTTGAGAGTATATCTATGAAGATTTAAAATAATAAGAATTTAGAAAAGAAATGAAGGAATTAAGATAAAACAAATTTTTGAATACCCAAATGGAAGATTTGATTTAAATTTAAATTTAAATTTATATATATCCAAACATGGTACTGGAGAAATTAATTAAAGAAAAGGACCTGACGATCAAAACATGGAAGAAAATGTGTCGAACCATGGAAGATGAAATGCAGACTGTGAAATTTTTTTACAGATTTTTGATCTAATCCTTTTTTCCAATTAATTCGCTTATCCGAATTTTTCCTTAACTTTATCTTGCCAAACATAGTATGAAAAACAATTAAGGTCCTTGGTGCTCTTGACTCTATAACTTGGATTTGAGGCAGATTTGCGTTCAAATAGGAAACCAAACAAGTTGGGGGAAATGAAATTCTTTAAAATGTCCATCTTGTAAACGGTAAACCAAAACTTAATCATCAAATTGTTTTAGTTCGAATAAAAGAAAAGAGAAAGAACAAATTACAAAATGAGAGAAATGATTGACCTTCATTCATTTCTCTCAAATCCTCCCTACGTTGGAGAGTACCACATATTTTTCCAATCCTAATAACTTTAGCAATGACTTAATGAGCACATTCAACCCTGAAAACTGAATCATATCAACAAAATGCATGCTTGTTTTTAGTCTCAAGAAAAGCATATAAAGAAGTGATACTAATATTTATTGAGTTTATGTTTTGGGAAAAAGAGAGAAAGTGACTAGTCCTGTTTGATTTGCACACACAAACACACACAGTTTGCAGTGGAGCAGACCACCAAGAGTTAGGTTTAATGGCCTCTGTGCATACCGGGGGACCTCCATGTGTTTCATTTATTTTGCTTTATTTCATCCAATTTTTTATATTCTTTTTTAATAGTAATGAGATTAAAGAATAAGATTCTTGAACCTTGAAGCTATGAAATATCCAAGTCTGGAACCAAAAACCAGCATAAAATATTTGATAACTCTCTCTGTGACCACTATATGTAGATATTTATATTAAACAAGTTATAAAATTAAATTGAAGTGGTTTAATTAATTTCATTGTGTTTAATTAGTATGAGGGAGCGCACATGGTTAAGTAGGTGAACTAAACCTGTTGATGTTGGGTCTTGATTCTTTAGCTATTCATAAAATCTAAATATTTCTGTGTTTAATCTAAAATCTCACCAACCTCACCGAGT